TCATTTTTTTCCCAACTGACTTTGCAAATTCCCTTTCTAAACCAGGGTTCCAGGAATGAAATAAGTCATAATGTTTAAGGGAGCCATTGTATGAAATGAATTAACTTCTGTTTATGCATCTAGAATGGTACTAATTATGTACCATCTTTTGCAGAACTGAGAAAATAATCGAATCATTCTCTGTGTTCTGTGATTCAGGTGAGAACACCAGCTGAGAAAGACTGGTAGAGCCAAAAAGATTCTAGTCCTTTAATGAAGAAATGTGATTTTTAAAAATAAGAATATTCTGGAAAAAGACCACAGAGCATACCTGTGTCCTACTTTTTAGCACGTGAAATAGGTATGTATTCTCTTGTTACTCTATGAGTTAGAAATAAGCAACTATCAAGTAGCATAGAATACGAATGCCAGCACCAACACAACTGACACCACCTCCCACGGATAATAATACTAATTAAAGCAGCTCCTACTGCTTACTGCATCCTTGCTATCTGCCTGACTCCGTTACATAAATTCTCATGTAATTCTCTCTGACACCCCTGTAAGTATTGCCAACCAGATTTACAGGTGGGCAAAACTAAAGCTCAGAGAAGTTATACAGCTTGCCAGAGACTGCCCAGCTAAGAAAGTAAGGAGCAAAAGCAGAATGAAAGCCCGGTCACTTCAACTCAAAAAGCTCCTCTTAGCACCTAGGCCACACGTGAAGGATGGAAGACTTCAGGCCTTGGGTCCTCAGGCAACTTCTCAGCTGTCAAATGAGGGGCCTGGATGATTTTATTTCTAAATCTATTCCAGATTAGCATGCTAGAGTTAATTTACCAAAATACAGTGTGAAGAGAAGGAAGGCAGTCATGTCGTTTCTTATCACTATGTAATTCTGTATAAAAGGGTAGGCATTTAAAATAGGACCAAAAACATTATCTTCATAAAACAACTGCTTTTTAACGAAACCAGGGCTGATTTTTAGTATCCAAACACCTACTTTTGTAATTGTACCAATAAAGTAGCACACAGTGAGATAATTTTTAACCCTGGTAAAAATGTTTGGCTGATTAGCCAATTATAGGAGTTACATTGTAGCTTAATATTTGTTTCCTTTTGCGCTTTCATTGTCCATTTTATATAGTAAATGAAAAAATATAATCTCTAATTTTCTTTTTTGTTTTCTGGAAAAAAAGAAAATTGTAAGACAAAAACTAAAACCAAACGCACTGCCATCAAGTCAATTCTGACTCATAGGGACCCTATAGGGCAGAGTAGAACTGCACCATTGGGTATCCAAGGCTGTAATCTTTATGGAAGCAGACTGCCACATCTTTCTCCTGTGGATCAGCTGGTGGGTTCAAACTGCCAACCCTTCTGTTAGCAGTCAAGCACTTTAACCACTGCACTACCAGGGCTTCTCAGACAAAAACTAGCAACCTCCAAAAAAATAACAAGACTGAGCCATAGATAATGATGATTTCAGTAGAAGTGTAATGGTAGCTTACACTGAAAAAGCAAAGAATAGGAGTACTTTCAATCTATCTTCCTCAGCTCTTGTGAGTAAACTCCCAGTCCACTGCAACATGGCTCTTATTTATTTCAAGTTTTTAAAACCAACATTAGATGTTACAACAGAAGTAATGTCATGGCTAAACTATATTCTTCAGATGTAAGGACACAGCAGTCCATTCATTTTTCAATAAAAAATAATGCCTAAATGTTGGTTGGCCTATATGTTGTTCCTACCTCTGTGAAAAACTAGTGCTGTGATTAAGAATAAACATAACTTGGGCTTGAAGCCAGGCAGTGAGCTGTATTGGTCTGGCAGAGAAAGCACATGCCGAACAGGCTTCATTTACCAGTACTAAGAACAGTCATTGTATTTTATTTCACTAACCAGCCAGGCTACATAAAGTAACCAGTTTTTTTATACCCACCCTACAGAATCTAAAGATAAAAGTAATTTGTTTTCTAGCGCTAACTTTGAGCAGACTAAGCTAATCTTTAGGAAGACCGCCTTACGATTTATAAGAACAAAACATTCCATGATATAAAGGCTACATCAGGTAGAGCGCTTCCGATTTCATATAATTCCATGTCATTTGACAGTCTATAGTCCTCAGAAATTGGAAAAAAAATCTCAATTTGACCAAGATATTTTTGAGGGGAAATGTTAGTTACTTTGAAGATCATAAACATCTTGCCTTTGCAGCCTTAATGATCTGTACACTTCTTATAATTTACCATGTCACCTGTATTTTTATCAGATTAAATGGGTGTTATAGTTATAAGCAATATGTCAGAAGACTGACAACATAATTATTAAAAAATTATCAACTAAACTCCTAATATATGCCTAATACTATTCTAAGCAATTGCCAAATTTTTTTTTATCTTTTTTTTTTTAATTGTACTTTAGATGAAGGTTTACAGAACAAATAGTTTCTCATTAAACAGTCAGTACACGTATTGTTTTATGACACCGACGACATGTCAACCCTCTCCCTTCTCGATCTCTTTTTTTTTTTTTTTTGGTGAAAATATACATAGCCAAAGATACATCATTTCAAAAATTTCTACATGCAAAGTTCAGTGACATTGATTACATTCTTCCAGTTGTGCTGCTGCAATTGCCATATTTTATCTCATTTAATCTTCATTAAAAATAAAAAACAAAATCTAAGAGTTAGGTACTAATAGTATCCCCATTTACAGATGACAAAACAAAGATACAAAACCAAGGCCACATGGTCCCAAGTGGCAGAGCCAGGGTCCGAACACAGTGATCTGACTCCTAAGCCCTTGCTTGTAACCATGATAAGGACAGGAAGAAACCTTCCCCTGGAGAGAATGTATGTAGCTATTTCCTTTCTCTACTTTTTTTTCTTTCCATCTCTTTTCCTTATATTCTCACTCCCTTTATTTTTTCTCTCTGTTGCTTGGCTGGTGCCTGACTCAGGCAATGGTACTGGGAAGTGGGGTGGTTTGCTTAGGAAGTCATGTGCTCCTGAAACAAGACGTGGAAACAGGTTACAGTAGATACCACAATCAAATTCTCCACCACATGAAATATTCTCAAGCATAAAGATATTTACTTAAAAAAACCAAGCATAGACCAACATTTCAATCAAATCAGAAACTTGGAATACTATCTTAGAGACAAGAGTAGTGGATTTTCCTCAATCCATTTCTCTTCTTTGACCGTAAGATTTCCTTGTTGATCTCATCCATATTCATGGATTTATCCCAAAATCTGTATCCCCAATCCTCTTCTTTTTAAGCTTCAGACATAAAATAGTCACCTACCTGTTAGACATCCCCATCTAGATGTCCCAGTCTCAAACTAAACAAACCCAGCACTGGATTCAGATACACTGCCCCCCATCCACCCAATTCTGCATCTCCTTCCTGCATTTCCTGTTAAGTGGAACCATCATTCACCCAAACGGGTGAAACATGGGAGTCTCTACCTCAATTCCCACATCCAAATTATTCTGTCAGTTTTACCTCCCAAATCCATCATTCCCTCAATTTCTATTACTACAACTGTAGCTCAGGCCCATATCATCTCTCACCTGGACTACTTTAAGAATCTTCTCAGTATGCTATGATTCCCAACTGCCTCCAGATAAAAGTTTATGTTCCTGGTCCCACTATCCATATGCTTCCAACCACCCCTCTCAGTCTTTTTCAACCTTCTTCACTTTAGTGCTCATCCCCTGCATCTTATTAATTTGGAATTCTCCAGTCCTAAATAACTGCTTGTTCAATTAAATTGAACAATTATGCATGGTTTTGATTTTTAAATAATACAGTTAATACTTGCTCCTCTAGAATAAGTACAACTTATAATTTCAAAATTATTATAAAAAGTTTTTTTAAAAAAGAGATAATTCTCCTGTAAGAAATTAGAAGGAAAAAGGTTGTTTAAGGCCCACCCACTTTTTTTTTTTTTAAGACTTGAGTTATTCTATTTCCATTCTATGCCTTCACTGTGGCGATTACTATCAGAATTCCTCTTCAAAGTCACTTCTGAGGTTCACTGTTTAGCCTAGGAGTGGACAGCCCCATAAAACAAAATGGGACTAATGAAGCTCAGCATTCCAGGGACAAGGACTAGAAGGCAGAAGGGGACAGGAAAGCTGGTGATAGGGAACCCAAGGTTGAGTAAGGACAGTGTTGACATGTCATGGGGTTGTTAACCAATGTCATAAAACAATATGTGTAGTGACTGTTTAATGAGAAACTATCTGTTCTGTAAACCTTCACCTAAAGTACAATAAAAAAAATTATTAAAAAAAAAAAAGAAGTCCTCTTCAGCAGTGAAGGATGGCACATGGGTCAGGATTTAAGTGGGAAAACAGGTACCAATCTGTCTTAATTCAGAAACTTGGTTAGACAGGTGCTGGAAGAGTGACAAAGCCAGAGTAGACTGCGAGAACCGCAAGCAGCCTCTACGTGCCTAGGTTAGAAGGATAAAGGGAGGAGGCAATGTTACCAGGACTCAGGCTCACCCACAGTGGATGGAGCCACAGAAGAGATGCAGCAGCTGTTAGAGTTGCTGCCTGACAGGGCATGGAGGTCTCCCTGAGTTTAGAATACAGGGATGGGAGTCCAGGGAGCAGGACGAAGTACTGGCGAGGGGAGATGTGCAGAGGGTTCTCCTCAAGTACTCAGCAGAGTACTCTTCAGCTCATTCATGTACGGAAACTACGAGAGGCCAGGGAAAGAACCATCTAAAAGGACTGGAAGGAACAATCTCCAAAGTTCACACAAAGATGTTGCATGAACTGGAAAGAAAGAAATGCCCTGAGTTTTTTTTTTCCACCCCTTCCTCCTTCCTTCTAACCTTTCACCTGTGCCCTTGCCTCTCATTAGCTCAGTGGTGATCAACCTTGACTGAACACAGGAATCATCTGAGGTGCTTTAAAAGTACGAATGCCTGGATGCACCCCTGAAAGTCTGGTGTAATTGTTTGGGGTGTAGCATTGGAGACTTTTAAATGCTTTCCGGGAGTGTTTGCTTCACAAACACACGTACTAAAATTGGAATGATACAGAGATTAGCATGGCCCGGAAACAAGGATGACATGCAAATTCGTGAGGCGCTCCATATTTTTTTAAAAAAAAGGATTTTCTGGTGAGTCTAACGGTTCAGAACCACTGCATTAGCTGCACCTGGGCAGGAGCCAGGAGACCAGATCCTGGGAAACGCAGCCTGCAGATATCAGCACCCCACCATACAGGGTAAGAAGAGGATCTGAGAGCCAGTGGGTCCAGGATCAGCAAAGATGGCACAACAGGATATGTAGAAATAAGGGAAAAGAGTGAGAAGCAAAAAAAAAGCACAGACACTATCTTCTCTAAATCTTTCAGTGGCCAGCTCACATTGAGCTTCCTCCAGGAAGCTTTCCCTGATCATCCCAGTCGCAAGACTTCCTCCTCCTGCAATACTTATTGTCTACTGCTCCAATGACAGCATGTTTATCACACACCACCTCCTGTGTGTCCTCAGCTGAGTTGTAGTTCAGCAATCTCCTATCTGCCTGAGTCTTCTGCAGTGCCCCATCAAGAAAGCCTGTGCCTTCCTCCTCTTGATATTTGCATTGTGTATTCATTTCTTTCCCAAACTGACAGGCTAGCTCATTTGGATAAATTAGCTACTATCGAGCAGTAACTATGGTTAACAAGAAGAAGCCCTGATAATACAGTGTGGTTAAAGTGCTCGGTTGCTAACCAGAGGGTTGGTGGCTGGAGCTCACCAGCTACTCCATAGGAAAAAATGTGGCAATCTGCTTCTGTAAAGATTTACAGCCTTGGAAACATTATGGGGCAGTGCTCCTCTGTCCTATAGGGTTGGTATGAGTCAGAATCAACCTGATGGCAATGGGTTTGGTTTCAGGTAATGGTTAACAATGACCTAGTATTATTACCCTTCTGGATAACATTTGCATGGTAAAAAGGACCTTGAGTACAAGAATTTCAGGGCAACCTCACGGATTGCTTGAGTAAATTTTTGTGTGTTCCTTAAAATTTAAACAAATTTAAACAACATAGGTAATGACCTAAAATGGATAGTGATGATTTACAAATTTACATAAGATTTTTTACAATTCATTTTGATCACAGCATTACTCATGGCTGTCGAAACATTCAGCAGAGTGGCTATTCTCATTAGATGCATTTCCATCTCTAGTTAAATAAGTCTAGTTATATTCTTTTTATAAATTAGGCTAGAAATATACTTGCTGTATATTCCAGAAGTTTTGTGATTTCAGATTAAAAGAAGTCTGCTTCTTTAGTAGAAATCCTATTTGCCTGAGAAAGTCACTTTCCAGAGAAGAATAAAATCCAAGCTCAAAAACAGAAATCACTTAGAGAGAGAGAGAGAGAGTGAGTGAGTGAGTGTGTGTGTGTGTGTGTGTGTGTGTGTGTGTGTGTACACTGATAGGTTATTCCCCGAAAAACTGGGACCAAACTGTAGAACTGTTAAAATATTAACTGGCTTCATATCCCACTCTCAGTAGATTAAAAAAAAAAGCAAAACAAAAAAGAACCTAAGTGGCTCAAAAGTGGGCATCCTAATTAAAAAAACTGCTTTCAGTGTGAACTGTTCTTCATTATGAATCTATATAAAGAAAACCACTTCTGATCACATGGAGATATCTACAAATTTTATGATACTGCTGATTCCTAAAAACAAACTCCCAGTAGGATAGCCACATAATACTGAATTCCTACAAGGAATACATAAAAGCTAAGAATTCACAGAAAGATAATTTCTCTTCACCAGCTTTTTAATGTACGCTGTTCTTCCAGTAAAAGCTTAAACTGTCATACTACACTTTTAAACACCAAAAATCTCAGCAACCAACACCTGATTAAAACCAAAAAAACCAAACCCACTGCCATCGAGTTGATCCTGATTCATAGTGACCCTATAAGAAAGAGTAGCACTGCCCCCACAGGGTTTCCAAGGCTGTGTAATCTTTATGGGTAGTCTTTCTGGAAGCAGAATGCCACATCTTTCTCCCTCAGAGCTGCTGGAGCTGCTGGTGGGTTTGAACCACTGATCTTTTAGTTAGCAGCTGAGCCCCTTAACCACTGCACCATCAGGGCTCCTTACCATCTGATCAGACTCCCAAAATTCTAAAAGAAACACATCCATTCTACCTGGTATGTGGTATAATCTTACTTTAGCTATCAAAATCTTTTAAAAGTATTTAAAATAATTAATAAATTTTAATATTAGAATGCAAAAGAGGTAAGTGACCACATATTGATGGAATCCCAGCAGGCTCTTGGGAGCAACAATGTGGCCACAACAGCTAACTTTGTCTATCACATCAAATCACATTAAATAAGAAAAGGAAGATGCTTTCTGTACATAAAACTAGAAAATTAAGGTTACTGCCCCAATTAGGTGAACTGTAGGTTTTTAAGTAATGAGTAACTAATAATACTCACGAAAGAAAATCAAACACAAGTGTAAGCTCATCTAATTACCAAAAGTAGTAGTAAACCCACTAGGATTTTAACATGAAAATTTATATTTTTTCTTTTTAGTTGTTGTCAAGTCAATTCTGATTCATGGTGACCTCATGTGTGTCAGAGTAGAAATGAGCTTGATAGGGTTTTCAATGGCTGATTTTTTGGAAGATCACCAGGCCTTTCTTCTGAGGCAACTCTGGGTAGACTCGAACCTCCAACTTTTCAGTTATGAGTTGAGCACATTAACCATTTGCATCACCCAGTGACACCATTAAATATCTACCTCAGACAAAAGGCAAAGGCAGAAGATACCCTTTTTTTCTTAGTTTGTGAAAAGAAGTTAACAATTTCTTTGAAAATAGAACCTAGTCACATACTCAAAACAGAGTCAGCGTTCAACTAATGCTGTTGACTGATTATATAACTTCCAGGAACTGCACTCACTGGTAAGACCTAACTGGGTACCTTTTTGGGAATAAATGACTGTGATTTAAAGATACTGGTAGCTGAGGTGAGATCCTGCTCACATACCCACGCTGAAGAGAACAGTCTAATTCATCACAGTCAAGCCACACAGCTCAGAGAATGTAAACATGATATGGACAAGGATAACGGATGCCCAAACCCTTAATATTACAAGGCTCTTTTCAGACTGGTCCCACGGACATGCCTCAGGCAGTCTATGGGTCCAAGAAGCATCCAAACAGTGCCTGACTTTGTTTAGTGACAACAAAGGGGTCAAAGATTTGAGAAAGAGAAGGAACAGGACACAGCCTCCCAAAGCAAAACCAAAAAACAAGAAAAATATTCACAATCGTCTAGGGAAAAGGATGATACTGGGCTGACACTTTAAATTCAGAAATATTTTCTTCACTTAGTCGAAATGAAATGAAAAGAAGAAAAGACTGATGTTTCTTAAGTGTGTTATCACCTATTTCTCCTTTTTAATTTCTCACAAAAACAGCAGATTTAAAGATTATCATACACACACACGGTTGCTTCCTTTTAGTTCCTGCAACTTCATATTTTAGAAACAGACGTGCCACACGTTTCTATGAGGCAAGAATGCTTAAGGGTATCTGGCTCCACATTTTAGAGCCAGCCACAGAGCAGAGAGACTTAGAAAGAGCAAGACACTGTTCAGTCAGCTTCAGGCAAACATTAGTGGAAAGAAACATTACACAACAAGAAACACTAGGCATTTATAGATTTTTTTGACTGAACAGACTACGTGGGAAATTTTAGGTCGAAAAAAGATTTTTAAGTGTTCCATGTCTTCATGGCAGATAAGAATATAGAGACTTATGTTTAATAATCAGGAAAAAAATAACATAAGACTTTTCTCCAAGTAACATGGTATGGAGATTATAATGAGCCGCCAAAAAACCAAACCCTTTGCCATCAAGTCGATTCCAACTCATAGCAACCCTATAAGACTGAGTAGCACTGCCCCATGGTGTTTCTAAGGCTGTAATCTTTACAGAAACACACTGCCACATCTTTCTCCTGCATAGTGGGCCACAGCCTTGTTAAATGTAATGGACATCTTTATACCTTCAAGTTCTATCTGTGACAGCAAGTGGCTGAGAATAAATGAAGGCTGAAAAAAACAACCTACCTTATCCAGTTAAGCCCACCTTCTTAAGTGCCTGACGCACAGGAGCCCTTCAAGGTCCATGGAATAATACAGTTCATTAGGCTGGAGGTGCTATACTGAAAACATTTACTGTAAGAGTCTCTTAGCACACAGCTAAGCAGTCTATATGCCTTTTCTGAGGGGCAGTAGAGAGGTGGCAGCCATTTTTTGTTTGTTTTAGATAATCCTTAGTCTTCCTTTTGTTTCTATTTTAAGGAAAAGCAACAAAAAACTCCATTCCCACGCCCACCTGACCCCCAGCACAAATTATAACATCCTGAAAGATGCTTAAAGGAGATATAAACTATAAAAAGATAAAGTTCACTTGCTAAGGAGCAGTAATAAACCAAAACCAAACCCGCTGCTGTTGAGTCGATTCCAACTCATAGCCACCCTATGGGACTGAGTAGAACTGCCCCATAGGATTTCCAAGGAGTGGATGGTGGATTCAAACTGCCGATCTTTTAGTTAGCAGCTGAGTTCTTAACCACTGCGCCACCAGGGCTCCAAAAAAATAAAACGAAGTTCACTTGCTAAGGAGCAGTAATAGCAAGCATTTTCTTACCTGATGTGGCCGATCAGTTCAATAAGCTTGTGACTAAAAAAGTAAGCTGTCAGCTCAGACACGTGACTCAGTACTGAACAGACCCCAAAGAGGGTTGTAGTTCCATTCAGATCTTCTAAATGCCAGTAGAGAAAGGTGAACACAAAGCCGTATCCAAAACCCATAAACCAAGCCACAAACAGCACTGAGCCATACTGCACACTGCAAAGAAGTCTGATTAAGTCCCAAAAGTTGAAGGCCTGCGGGTGGCTTGTGGAGGCTGGTGTCTCCTCAGAGGACTCTGCGGAGTTGTTCCTCTCCACCTGAGGGATCTCCACCTCTTTCCCTTTAGTATCATTGTTGAAGTGGTTGTAGCGGAACCGGAACTGAGTAGCGACAATCAAGGCCATGGTCATAAGAACTCCAAAGACAATGAAGACGATCTGGTAGTTCCGGTACTCTGGGGACTTACACCCCTTTCCATCGACGAGCACTTCTGTGTGGGTGTAGTCAATCCCGATGCCCACGGAGAGCATCGCCAAGCCCCAGCCCAGGGAGCCCCACATACGCTGCAATCCATAGCGGTCTCTGTGTTTTCCCAGATACTGGAGTGTTACTGTGTCTACAATCGTGACGGAAGAGGCACTGAAAAATTCTCCTATTATGACAACTACCAAGATCACCAAGAATATAGCTTCAACTTCTTGCTGATCATAAACAAGAGTGACTTGGTCAGAAGGTAAAGATTTGGTGGTAGTGACAGTAGTAATGGTTGTCTCCCTGGTTACGTTTCCGGGGGGAGCAGGGGTTACTGTGCTTGGGCTTACGGTCAAGTCCACAATATGGTCAGTAATTTCGCCTGTCTGAGGCCGCAGAGTGGGTTCACTTCTCTTACTTGGAGTTGTTGAAAAGATAACAGGTTCTGAGATATTGGGCTCTGTTTCTAACATCAGTGCTGCAATGGAAGGAAGCACGTTCGTTTTCTCACGTGTTTTTGGTGATGGGGAGACAAGCATGGTAGGAGAAGTGGTAAGAGAGGAATTTGTTGGAAGGATGGTTAGCAGCTGACTTGCATTAGAAGGGCGAGTTGTTGGGGGAATCTTTGGTACACATCTCAAGGTAGCAGGTTTGACAAATCCGATGCCCAGGTTGAATAGAACCCAACATAAAAGAGAAAAGAGAAGGACAACTTTGCCTTTTCTAAAGCGATCTGCAACTACACCCCAAAAGGGGGCACTGCAGAATTCTATGAAGTATCGAATACCTACTAGCAGTCCACTCTGGCTTGGGGACATTCCCAGCTGTTTATAATACACAGGCAAAAGGGGGTAAAGAGAGCCATATGCAGAGTAAAAGAAAAAATAAAAGACCTTGGAAATCAGAAGATCGTTGTTTATTTTAACACAGTGCTTCTCCATCCAGTCTATTTCTTCCTCAGGGATAGCAGACGTTTCTGTGGAGGAGGGTGTTTCATTCAAAGGTGGTTCTGGTTCCCTGGCAATACCATTAAAGGGATCAGCAAGCACATATTTTCTCTTCTGTTCCTCTTCATCATCAGTTAAGATGGCAACTTTGTCATCTGCCGCCATGGCTCACTACCACCATCAGAAAGTTTATGACCTTCAAAATTCTGATAGTTGATCTGTAAAGTAAAATTAAAGATAGCTTAGTCATGAAAATTATAACATTTAGACAGAGCTTAATCTTGCAGGAAACTGAGGAGTTTCAAACTACAGCTAAAAATAACAACTGTGAGAGAGAATTCTCATCATTTATCACTTGCAGCCATAAAATACTGATAAAGAACCTTCAAAAAATCAAATACTCCTTGTGGCCACTAATAGACAATTACATTTTCCAACGGCAGGTTCTTAGTTTAGGTTCATTCCCAATCTTTTCATTGATTCCTAGGGAAAATGTACAAATGCTAGGGGTTATGTCTAAACCAGATATGGGGAGTTGAAAGCAAAAACTATTTATAGTTCTTGGTTTTACTGTTCAAACAAATCCACTGCACTATGAAGTCTAGAATTCTTTAGAAAATAAAGGTAGCTAAAACCATTCAGTTTCTAGAGAAAAACAGAAATAACCTCTTAAGCACAACCACAACTGTAATGCGAAGAGGGAGCCAAATGCACATTTGCCACTGAGTTGATCACTATAGCCATGACAATGACATGCTGGTAAGGAACTAGTTTTCACGTTGCTTTCATTGCTTATGTTTCCCTAGATATATTTTCATGGATTTCAGTTCAAGAAAACCTCAGGGGGTGAGGGGGAAGGTAACATTTCTTGAGCACTTACTTTGTGCAAGATACCATTTAAAAATCTTTACATGTATTAATTCATATTATCATAATATGCTGACTATCGTCTCCATTTTACAGATGAGAAAACTGATGCATGGTTAGTAAGTTTAATTAACTCATAAGTGGCAGAAGCCAGGATTTGAACCCTGATAGTATGGCTTCAAAAGGAGCCCCGGTGGCACAATGGTTAAAGCTCTTGGCTGCTAACTTAAAGGTCAGCGGTTGGAATCTACCAGCCGCTCTGCAGGATAAAAATGTGGCAGCCTGCTTCTGTAAGGATTCACATCCTTGGAAACCTTATGGGGCAGTTCTACTCTGTCCTATAGGGTCACTATGAGTCAGCACAGACTCAACGGCAGTGGGTGTGGTTTGGTTTTGGTTTAGTATGGCTTCAGGACACATACTCTAATACACCACACTGAACTGCCAAATAACATGTTTTGGATAATAAAATGCTATTAAACCTTTTTAAGACACAAGGTGTTTCATATGAGAGATTAGCAATATATCAGCCACATAAATTTACAGGAATTGTGCTACATTCCATCAGAATTTCCCTTTTGTCTATTATACAAATGATTTAATAGTCACAAGGTCTTGCATCAAGATTTATAATATACAGTTGCAATAAATATATTCTGATTGTAGAAGGTATACACATTATAATAATTCATTCTTTTCACCTTCTCTACTAAATAGAATTATCAATATCACTTGCCACCCCTTGGATATATCCTGTTGTCTCTCTTCCCAAAATGAAGACTAACTTTCTGAAAATCTTCCAGAACCATGCTTGCAAATATTTGTTAATCTGTACAAAGCTCCTAGGCAGACAATAGAAACACAACTTAATAAGGCCTGTCATTATTAAATAACTCAATTTATCTTTTCCCCAAAAGTCAAATGTCAACATAGCTATACACTTTGAAAATATTTATGAATTTCTTAATGGTGAAAGGAAAACTTTTTCCCAGAAAACCTGAAGAAAAAGCAAAATCCAAGCTTTTGTTGCCCAGCTATGGAAGATTTCCTTCAATGTTCTGTACTTATTTTTCCTCTTATTAGTGCCTTCACCTATACAAGGCAGCTGTGTGTACAAAGTTCCAGCTCTGTTTTATCACCAACCCCCCCCCAAAAAAAAAAACACATACACAAATAAATCTCCTTTGGACTTAATTTTACAATAGTTGCCTAAAGGCAGAGAAAGGAGTTGCCTCTGGGAGGGAAAACGTGGGACGGGTGCACAAGTATGTTTGTTGGTATTAAAGAAAACCTTGTAAACTCGTTGATTTTTTTAAAAAAACTTTGTACATATATAACTCTCATTTTTACAATAAAGATTAAAACTGAAACAAATATACAGTCATATGAGTTATGTCTTTGTGAAAGACAATAATTCACTGCAGCTACTGGTACCCTTCTATCACTAGCTAAAAATATTTTTTGCAGAATTGTACAGAATGTCCAACTGCATGAATTCTAATCAGGTGCCCTATAATGGCCTTTAATTAATTCTCTTTCATAAATCAACTGGCAAGTCCTTACCAAGTAGGTCAGAGAAGGACATAAAGTCCTCTTTAAAAAAACGCATCATTCCCTGATTTGTGCAGGTGATGATGAGGAACTGATGTCGAAATGCTAATTCAATACTGCAAAATATCCTACATTAGAACGTTGATTTTAACCTTGATAAGTGACTTTCTCCCCAACCACTCTTGGCTCTCTATCTTAGTCAAGTGATTTTTTGATTATTATAAGGTTATGCAAGATTCCCCTAGTTACATGAGTACAGATGTTAAGTCATTTTCAAAGTATCAACAAATGCAATTACGGAAATGTTCCCATAATGTAACCTTCAGTACCTTTTATATGAATGTCAACTCAGTAACTTTTATATGAATTTCAAATCTAAAAATATGAACAAAAACCTTAGTTAAATTCAGGACATTAATGGTTAGACTCAATATTTTCAGGTCATATTTCGATTTTGATAGTAATGAAATAAAGCATAACTCTAGCATCCATGTAATCACAGATCAGGAACAAAAATAAACAACACAACAAAAAAAAAAATCCCCCGTATTTTAATAAAATTAAAATATGTCCCACAGCAGGGTATGCTTTGGTTGAATTAGATTAGGTTTAATTTGCTATAATACTGGTAGAGCAAGTGTAAACAGCAATAAAAATATTTACATGCTGGATGAAGTAATTAAACTGTTTACAAATCCAGGGGAGATTTGTTTATTAAGTGGCCCACCAACATATAACATTTTGTTTTAAATTTCTGAATCTTAAGGTTTTTTTTTAAAGAAACTTGAAAAAGAGAGAGAGAGAGGAGACAAACACATTTCGAATTATATAGAGAGTGAAATTCATGAACTTCTCTGTGAAATCATCTGTTGCAATTTTGCAGCTAATCTTAACTGGATTAGGAGGGTTTTTGTTTATTTTATTAGAAAAACAAAGGTTTTCTCACCTTTGCTCCCTAACGATAGTAATCAAGACCATTACAGTGAAAATACAAGTCTTTTTATAACCTGGAAAGAGATTCTACTTCTACCAGTACCTACACTGAGTCACTCAAATAGCAGGTGTGTCTGAATTATTGATGAGAGGAGATGAAATCGTTCTTGTTAAAATTGATAGCTTTCTTCATTAAATATTTAAATTAAAACTGCTCAAATATATACTGTGATCCACAAATATATGACCTAAGAGTATGAAAATGGGCTCAATTTTTGAAAAAAAAAAATTAGACCTGAATATATTATTTGTAATAATATTTGCCAAAGATCAGATTTACAAACATGATGGTAATGAGTGCTATAATGAAGCAGCAGCATAACAATCAGTGATAAGCAGGAAACGATCTCCAGATAATACAGAAGGGACACTCTTCCTCTGCACCATTGTAACTCGATGTTGCCCAGAGACCAAACTTGAAGTTACAAAATGAGGAAATCCACTTCTTGAACCCTCAGAGTTAGCTCTATTGTGTCATCTGTTATTGGCCATTCTCTGTGCCTTTGAGCAATGTACCAGAGCAAGACTGTAACTACCAGTGCACAGACATAGAGCAGCCATTCTAAAACAAGACTTAGAATCCTAGTATTCACTCACTATACTCAAATATTCAGTTCAACCCCCAGCATTTTCTAGAATAGAGCTTTCTTCAGAGGCACAGCACTCAATGCCAGTTTGAACAGAATCTTCTTTCAATAAAGATTGCTTTAGCATCTGCTAAACAGCTAGCCATTGTCATGAAAAAGACAGACAAGGTTGGGTTATAACAGTCACACAAGCTGCAAGGGCATTAACGTGTACAAAGGTGAATGACTATTCTGGACTGTTCCTTTTCCTTTTGGGACATTTTGACATGGCGCCTTTACGGCAGGGACTAAGCCAAATTGTGAAAGAGTCAATACTGGTCCTAGTCCTGCCAGCCCAGTTGGTTCTTCAGCTTCCAGTTTGAGCCCTCCACGCAATCAGGGCTGCCTGTGGACTCCCCACAGCTGCTACCAACACTGTTTCACTCGCTTTGAAACTCCTCCTAGAACCCAAACCTGCTATCCTTGACATTCAAGGTGGTCCTTTCCCAGGCTCCCAGGGACTTGTCTGCTAGGTGACAAACTGATCCATACAAAAAGTTAATGCATACCCCGTGGTTGCCTAATCTTGACAAAATATTTAGAGGGGTTCTATGGGACATATTATCATCATTTTTGTAACTAACTACAACACAATACCTAAATAACACTTGCTGTGGGCTTAACAGAGCCCTGGTGGTGCAATGGTTAAGAGCCTGGCTGCGAATCAAAAGGTCGGCAGTTCGAATCCAGTAGCTGCTTCCTGGAAACCCTATGGGACAGTTCTACTCTGTCCTACAGGGCCGCTACGAGTCAGAATCGACTTGATGGCAATGGGTTTCGTTTGGATGGGCTTAACGTATATTAGCTCATTTAATCCTCACAACATTTTCTGTGACGGGTATGGTTATTTTCCCCACTTTACAGATGAGGAAACTGAGGCCCATAAAAGGTAAATAATTAGCCCAAAGTCACACAGGTAGTAAGTAGCAGAACTAGGATTCAAACACAAGAAGTCTGGCACCAGAAACTGCTTTTGGCAGGTAGTACATCTGGATGCATCATGCTGCTAGACAGAGATGCCAACAACTTGGTCTTGTGACTCAAAGACTTGCTTTATAGTTGATAACATAAGCCCAAAACACTAGTTATGTAAACATTAAACCAAAAACCAAGCCCGTTGTCATCGAGTCAATTCCAACTCATAGTGACCCTAAAGGACAGAGTAGAACTGCCCCATAGGG